AAGGACGTAGCCCCAAAAAAGAATAAGAAGAAAAAGTAAGATTGATGTCATGTCGGACAGTCGGTATGTTAATAAAAGGTAAATGTTGTATGTAGTGTAAATACAAATAAATATATTATTAAACTACAGCATTACTGTTAATATGGATGCAATAATAAAAACTGGATTTGAGAAAGTAAATCACTAAATAACTTTTCAACCAAGCACTGAGTCAAAGGGAAAAGCTTTAGTAGTGGCAAATGTCCAAAAAGAATGGAAGAATTATGTGGAAGAATTAAGAAAAATAAATTACCATAAATAATGCTAATGCATAAATGCATAAATTAGCAGGTTAAGCCCATGATATCATATTGGTTTGAACAATTAATTCCTTCTCTGTAAACTATTGGACAGTGAATATGTCGTGAAAATTTAAACATTAAACTTGATTTTTGGGTTAAAATGAACTCTAAGTGAGTATTATTAAACTAAAATTTACACTTAAAAGTGAACTTTTATTTATTATTTATTTCAAACTGACTTTAAAATCGGGCGCAAGACTAATGCATAATTTAGGTTATGTTACTTATGCTTTTTTATGATATAAAACCACTTTTCTCTTTGTAGTAATTTGTGCTTCGAAGTTGGAAACGAAAGGAAGCGATTGTAGTATTATTCGTCTCTGGTATATCGGCTGTGTGCTTCAAAGCACTAGCCAGAAATAGAGTTCGCTGGAGACACTTTGTGGAAGCCCTATGTTCCTCTTAGGAATCTTGGGACTATATATATATATATATATATATATATATATATATATATATATATTTTATATATATATATATATATATATATATATATATATATATATATATATATATATATATATATATATATCGGCTGTGTAGAGTGAGAAAAGCAGCGGCCCTGCGGGACTCCGGAGTTGGTAGGACAGAGGTTGGATTGTTGGTGTTTGAATTTTACAGAGAAATATCTATTTGATATGTAGGATTTAAGTAGGAGGAAGTAGTTACTGGATAGTGCTATTTTTACTTTGTAAAGCAGACCTCTGTGCCAAACTTTGTCAAACGCTTGTAAGATGTCTAGAAATACAGCGTTGCAGTATTTCTTTTCTTCAAAACTTTTTGATATTTTATTTATCATTCGATAAACTTGTTGGGTAGTGGAGTGATTTTCCCAAAAACCAAACTGATGTTTTGGAAGTAATGTTATTAATTCATGATCTGCGTATATCCTTTGTAGCAGCAATCTTTCAAAAAATTTGCTTACGGTTGGGAGTAGGCTGATGGGTCGATAAGATGTTACTTCATTGGGCTCTTTTCCTGGCTTGAGGATCATAATGACTTCAGCAAATTTCCATATTTTTGGAAAGTATGATAAGCTTAGCATGCGGTTAAATATATCTGTTAGCAAAGTTATGGTCTTGCGAGGAAGTTGTTTTAGTACTTGTGGCGAGATTAAATCATAACCTGAGTTTGTTTATTTCTTTCTTGACTTCTATAGGAGTAAAACTTTTAATTGGGAGGGACATTTGACATGCTGCGCTAATTGGTTCTTCCACTTCATCAGGGTCTGCTGGCTCTGTTTGAAATACGTTTGTAAGATGTTCAGCAAAAACGTGCACTTCTTTGTTGGAACAGTGCCATTCGCATTTGGTTTACAGATGGGAGGAATAGTTGTGTATGGTTTCTTAAGCTTCTTAGTCGCCTTTCATAACGTCTGGTAATTTGCTGTAAGTAATGTTCGAAGGTTTCGTTGTTTGCGGCTTTGATAGCTACTCCAAGTTTCCTACGTAGTCTATTGAATATATGTAAATCTATGTTGTTTCTGGATCTTTGCCAAGTTCTCCTCGCACAACGTTTTTCAGCAATAAGTTGGCGAATGTGCAGGGGAATATTTGATGTATGTGTTGGTTTGAGTTCAGTTCGTGGCGTAGATTTCCATGCCGTTTTTTGCACAAGTCTGGTGAAGTATCGAGCTGCTGTATCTATGTCATGTGTAGATTTGATCCACAGAATAAGATTGGTGTTTTCTTATAGGATGTGTACTTAAAAGTAATAAATGAATAGTTCTATATAATTATTTTATGGTAAATAACAATTAGATAAATAATTTACTCTTCATGAAAGCTCCTAAAACAAGGATGAATGCACAAAGGTGATGAACCTGGCATGATGAACAGATGACAGAGCCTATACCTTCTATAAGTTTTGTCGTTATTGGGCATATAATTACCGATGTAGGTAAGTGTGATTTCTTCTGTCTAGAGGTTTAAGTATTTATGAGTACAAAAGAATTAACAATACATATTTTTTAATTACATAATAGAATGTCCTGTGCCACTAGTTAGTAGGTCTACGGCTAATCGATTATCGACTCCACCCATTATTCAATTGTATTCTGCAACAACTTTGGGACAATATAGCTTTATTTTTGATACATCTTTATTTTTTATCCATCTTTATTTTTTGTTGTACAGTGGTAGTATTTCTTGGCAAAAAATAATTTGTAAATACACAGGTTTACTATGTAATTACTTACAAATTCATTCATCCATCCATTTGATTGCCGTCAACATACCTTTTATGAACTCTCGTTGCTCCAGTTTTGTTTTATCTTTGTAACCTCTCTTTATTGGTTTCAAGGGCATATATTGTTTGATGAATGACCTAGAAAGGGATCATAGATTTGTCCACTGGTAGAAATAAAGAAGAATTGTATGTGCTGCCAAATGAATGGTTTAGTATTTTCATAAGCGTCCTAACTTTGTGAAGTTTGTCATATTCTTGATCTATAGTTTGTAGTGCAATCCAAAAATTCCATTTCTTGGTCGGTGTCATCATCACAGTCTGGATGAGAAATGATTTCATTGTACAAGTAGTTTATAGTAGCCTCAATATGTTAAGGATTATCCAAATTTCACATAACTATAAGTTTGTTAACTATTTGGTGACAGAAACAAATACAGTGAAAAATATATTTCATGCTTAAAAATTACACATACATATTTTGGGCAGTGGGAAGTATGTTTCCCACTAATATGTTTTAATATACAACTTCTTAAAATAACTAAATTTCCAGTATTGGGCTACGTCGGTTCCATCTTTGTTGGCGAGCCACAAATCTTCGAGGGTACATCGATGGGGACAATTTCTGCATGTAAGAAGATATTCCAAATTCTGTGTTTCTCCACAGTCACATTTCATATCATCTTGGTCTATTTTTCCCCATTTGGCCATGTTTGATTTTACGGGAGCGACTCCCGGTCTTATCCTATTCATAGTTATCCACGTTTTAAAGTCTAGGAACTGGCCGGTCCATTGAAAAGATGGAAGAGGAAAATACTCAGGCGGTTCATCCTGCACTGTTCCAAGGAAGCTTTTCCTGAATTTTTTCGCTTTTGTTATCTTTGAGCTTTATGTAGGATATACCGCTCGTCTGCAATCTGTTTAATTTTTTCTATGTGTTCTAGAACGCATCTGCGTGTTGAAGGTTCTGCAAAACCCGGTGATTTATATGGATTTGAGACGGGCGTTGGTTTCATTCACCCCGTTACTATCCTGCATGTCTCGTTTTGCGCAGTATCAACTTGTTTGGTGTAGGCAGATTTGCCCCAAATGGAGCACGCATAGTCAGCAGTTGAGAAACATAGTGCCAGTGCCGTTAGTCTTAAAACACCCCATTTACTTCCAGTTAGCTTTCTGAGTATGCTGTTCCTAGTTGTTACTTGCCCTCTTGATTTCATTCAATGATGTCTGTAGGTGAGGGACCGGTCCAAAGTTACTCCAAGATATATAGGTTAGTTTGTGTGTTCTAATGTATTACCATTCCACGCAATTTTCAGTTTTCGGCTTCCTTTGCGCAAAGGTGAAAAGCGCAGACTTGGGTTTTAGAGGGATTGGGCTTCAGGGAATTCTGCAGGTAGTATGCTGCCATTGTTTTTAAGGCAATTTCGAGTTTCTTTTCCACTTCCTTAAAACTATTTCCTTGAGCACATATTACAAGATCGTCAGCATTGAGGAAGTGCTTGGTTTTAGTCGGCGTAGGTTGGTTGATTGTGTATATATTGAAGAGCATTGGTGCTAAAACACTTCCCTGTGGGTGGCCCTTTTTTTGAGCTCTCCACCTACTTACTTTACCTCCCCGCACAACGAATTTTAAGAGAGAAATCTGAACGTCTTTTAAAAGAATGTATCCACTTGTAAGGATGACGTTTACCCTTGATAGAGATTTGAGTCTGAGGGCTAAAGCTGAAGGGCTTTCCGTAAAAAGTAAAATTAAATTTGTTTGCTTTTTAGATTATTTACGGAAATGAAGATATTTTAAAACTACCACCCTGTGCATAGTTATATATTTATCATAAAGCGAATAATCATAGAGTTACGTTACTTTTATCTACCTACTGTATGTGTATACTCTGCAGACTACTGTATTTTTACTACAAAATTAAATATCTATCGAGGTTTTCTTATTTTCGAGGATCTCTCCAGCAAGAGAGCTGCAATAAAACAAGAAAAATACGGGAAAACATCGAGGAAACTATTATATTATGTTTATCTTGGAGGGGAAATACCGTCCTTGGGCATTATATTAACATTTCAAAGTTCTATCTCTCTGTAGAAATAAATGAATATTTTGGTATTAAAAGAAACAAGTTTCCTGTTTTTCTGGAGTGGATTTTGTCATTATACTAAGGGAGAATTTGGTGCTTGAAATTGAGTAGAATTATATAGATTTTTTAAGTATCTGGATATGAAGATCTTGCTTAATAAATACTAAAAAACTGTTTTTTTTGTCTCTACTTTATTTTACATATTCATTTAATATATAATTTCCGAGTGAATGTCTTCAAAATCTTTTCGTACTCGCTGTTCGTAATAACTTTTTTTAACAATTACAACTGTTTCATAAAAAAAATTATTAATGATGAACTGAGGTATTACACATTTTCTCTTGACACATACTAACGTAGATATTAGGTATCTAACAAAATTAATACTTACTTTGAACTATTTTGCCACCCAGCCAGAACCATTTCTTTGCTAAGTCCATGAGGATTTAAGTCATTAAGATAAAGTCCTTGATCTGGTAATTCACTTATATCATTGATACTGGAACAACAAAAAATTTAAATTCAAATTAAAATAACTTGTTTTAAACGAAATTATTTTAGTTATTATAAACACGTTATTTATATCAATCTTGTATCATCTTTGATAGATAGTGAAAGATATCATATAATGATACCTTTCACTATCATTATTTGATAATATAATGATAGTGAAAGATTTAAATAAGATTTGAATCTTAGGCACTGTTTCACTAGCTCTCGTGCAGTCTTTTTGGATCAAATATTTTTGGATTAGTATTTAATGATTTCTTTATATTTACCTAAACTATGATAAATATGAAAAGTGTTTTTATTCTTGGTTTCAGCTTGGATCTCCGATTTCTAGACCTTTAAGATTAATTGACTCTAGATTTCATTTAGCTCTTTCGATAGAAACCGCTGACAAGCAGAAGACCTTTTTGACCAGACCGTTGGCAAGCAACTATGGGAACCGTCAAAGACGCATTTTAGCTTTTAATTTGTCACAGTCAGTCTTGTAGTTATTAAATCCAAGCTTCTATACTGGCGTTTTATTTTACTTTGTTTTCTATAGTGAAATGCTGAGCCGAGTATCACTGAACTAACCACAAAATGCAGTCGTCACGAGTAGCCTCATGAAACAGCTGGTGTTCACATCGATTCACTATTTTCGATCAATTCGTTTCTAGTTTTCATATATTTACTCTAAGCAGGTTTAAATTAGAAACTACATAAAAAAATAATTAAAAAAATACAGACATTAAACGAAAAGTAAAAAATTAAAAGCACATATGGCAATAATAGTACATTGTTTACCGGGTAGGAAAAGCTTAACATTCCTGGACGACTGTGAAGATTGCTAAGTCGAGGCGCAAGCCGAGACTTAGCAACACAGAGTCCAGGAATGTGGCTTTTCCTACGAGGTAAACATACTATTTTTCCGCAAATCGTTTAAAATTCGACAGATATTGATTGATTTAAAAAAAAAACGATAATTTTATTCCCAAATAAATGGTGCTTTGAAATTCCTAATAAAATTACTTGGGTTACTATGGAAACGTATTGAGGTTGAATTGTCAAACTTGACGCTTATAAATTTAATTGCTGGTGTTCTCGAAAGTAAAGTGATAAGTGATGATGAAATTTCCATTCCTGGGACTCCTCCAGAGCTGGTTGAGGCAGTGAATACTGCTTCATTAGAATTATTGCCAAAGAAATCAAGAGAAAAGTACGAAAATGCATACAGACGTTTTATGGATTATCGCATGAGTAAAAATACGAGTTCTTTCTCAGAAAATGTTGTAATGGCATACTTCCTAGACCTTTGTTTAAAGATGAAATCTTCAACATTATGGGCCAATTATTCAATGCTAAAGTCACTTAAACACAATGTAGATATATCTACATACTCAAAACTTCGTTCTTTATTGAAACGGCAAGCTCAAGGTTATAGGGCAAAGAAATCTAAGATTTTAACGAAGGAAGAAATTGAAAAATTTATCCAGGAAGCTCCAGATAAAGAAAATTTAATGATTAAGGTAATTTACAAGGTTTTAATTTCTATTTAGATTATAGCTTTATTTATTTTTTAGGTGGCTGTAATATTTGGTATTTCTGGGGCCTGTAGAATGGATGAGTTAGTCCGAATGACTGTACACGATATAGAAGACTTGGAATTTAAGCTTTTAATCAGCATACCTGATTCGAAAACCAACAAACCAAGATCATTTGTAATTAATCAGATCTACTTGAATGTTTATCGAAAGTATGTTTCGTTAAGACCAGAAAATATGAACAGTGACCGATTTTTCTTTAAATATCAAAGCGGAAAGGGTTGTAGACAAGTGGTAGGAATTCATCAATTTAGAAAAATGCCCAAAATAATTGCTACTTATTTGAACTTGGTAAATCCGACAGAATATACTGGTCACTGCTTTCGTCGGTCTTCTGCAACAATATTGGTTGACTCTGGTGCCGACATAACTAGTTTAAAGAGGCATGGCGGATGGAAGTCATCAAACGTTGCTGAAGGATATATCGAAGAATCGCTTAACAATAAGGTTGAGGTGGCAAATAAAATTTTCACAGTACAAAATATTCAACAAAATGATACTTCCACCCTGCGTGTTGTCCAAAATGTTTCTCATAGTTCTAAGAGTGTTCCTCCAATGTTCAATAATTGTACTAACTGTCAAATTACTGTAAATATAACAAATTGATCTTAAAAATGTATTCAGCAATGACTTGATGTTTTCAAAATATAAATTAATTCCTTATAAGCAATGTGTTTTCTATCATTTATGTAGAACACTAACAACTGTACGGAAATATCATTTCCTTACAGTAAGGAAATGACATTTCCTTACAGTAAGGAAGTCCTGACTTTTTCTTCAAGAAATTTTGACAGGAATGTCAAAATTTCCTGGCGATTTGCGGAAAAAGATATTAAATCAAACAGAAAAATAAAAGATCTATGCTAAATTGGATTCGTAATGATTCTCGAACGTCAAAAGGTATTATAAATGTCAAAAGTTATAAATGTCATCCAATTATACAACAACGTAACATCTCTCAATCTCGGATATAGAATGGACAACAAAGTAATTGGTATAGTGTGTTACGCAGATGATGCAGCAATTATTGCTAAATCAGAAGATGATCTTCAGAGAGAATAGCAAAAGATCCGCTCAGATGTAAGTTATTGGTTGAGAACAACCCCATAGAAAAAGTGATGCAATTCAGATATCTGGGCATAGATATATCAAGCACAAACGTAAAGGACCTAAGGAGTCAAATTAACAGAGAATCTGCATTGTCAGGATGTCTGCAGGAGATAGTTTGGTCAAATCCGTATATGCGCACAGATCGTAAAACTAGAATCTACAAGACTTGTATACGAACGATCATGACCAATGGCATAGAAGTGCGCGAAAAAAACGAAACAGATACTAAGAAATTAAAACCCTAAGAACATTAGTGGGCAAAACAAGAAGAGACAGGGTAAGAAATATAAACGTTAGAGAGCAGTGCAAAATTCAAGATATTGTAAGATACAGAAGGCAGCGTAAGAGGATGTGGTACAAACATGTAAGACGAATGGATGAGAATAGACTCCCAAAAATTGCCCTAGAAAACAACCCGTCCGGTTCAAGATCTCCCGGAAGACCACCTAAAAGATGAAGGGATAGTTGGTAATCTACCTCCCAGCAAACTAACCAGAGGCAGCTTCAGAATAAAACAGATCGAAAGATCTCCAAGAAGTAGAAGAAGAGATGGTATGAAGCTTCACGCTAGTCTACAATACTGCCTACGTTATAATTTTTTTTAATAATCTAACTTTTAACTAATTAAATTACGAATCTCTAATCAATTAAAAATAAATAAAAATATGTAAAAATATGCCTTTTTTGCGCACGTCATATATATGACAAACTTCTTTCTGCAAAACTGCTGTAAAAAGTAGCATATATTTCATCCCTGAACCTTCTATTTTGCATGCAAAGAGAAATGGAAATAAAATTCGGATCCGAACGCAAAGGAAACTCCGAAATCCAATAAAAATGTTTAATTCTTAAAATATGCACCTAAAATCTCGAAAATATCGATCGAGATGTCAAGTGGAGAAAAACGTGATATATGAAAGGAATCGAAAAAGAAAGTTCTTTAAGTTTTTTATTGTTTTGCTGTAGATTTTATTGTTTTCTGCTTTCAGAAAATAATAACTTTTGTATACGTAAATTATAAAAAACCTATTATATACAAGGTGTTTAATGGCAAAACCATATTTATCTAAAGGTTTCGTTGTATTCTTCTTTCTCTTTTCGTAGAGTATAGTATTTTAGTTATTGTTTTCATCGCATGTACTGATATATTTGTAGTAGCTGTTGAGGTTAAATCGCTTGTTTGGGTATCTCGCTTGCGTAAAAATTGATAAACTAATTTCTTCTTTATTTTTACTGAAACAAACTTACAAAAAACTCACTACAAAAATTGTACTTCTACTCTCAAATAAAGTCTATAGCTATCTTCCTGTTCTTCTTTCTGCGTCTGCTGTCACTTCTTAAATAAAGGTGTGGACAACTGCACCCACTCTCACTGCATCTTTAATTATCCGTAACAGTAGTGATAAGGGTGCAGGCTGGGTAAAAGGTAAACCTAGAGTCTAGGGTAGTGAAATGAGATTTTTCTGAAAATGGTGGAAAAATATTACAAGGCTTGATAAAAAGAAAAATGAAGACTTAAATAAAGAAATTAATATCAAGAAAACGTGTAGGATGGCTTTCGAAAAGATAAATAGAAATTTGAAGCCAGAGCAGGCTACAAAAATGTAAACACTGAAATGAAGAAGATGAGTAAGTGTTGCGTTTTGCACATACGATGACCTCAATAATATAACAATTGGGATGATCAGAAAGGGGAGAGAATATATTATGTTAAATCTAAAACTTTTTCGCATTGGGTATGTATATTCCTATATAAAAATAATAAACAAGTAGACTATATAAATTATACTTGATAAAAGAAGTAAAATCAAACATAAATATACATTAACAAACATACAGTCATACATAAACAAGAATATATGGATGCAGGATGTTTATGAATGGGTTTTAAAAACACATTAACAACAAAGGAATTTGAGATTTCCATTGTTATGGTTAAGTATGACTAGAAATAGCGCATAAATTAATATTAGACTTTAAAGAGTACACAATATGCGCATATATAATAATATAATTAATCCATGGTAAAATGAACAAACCTTGTTGATAAAAGATACACAAAATGCAATCAGACGTAATACAAATATTATTAAACCTAATTCAAAAGTATAGTCGGTAATAAAATACACATTAATAATGAAATTAGTACAATTAAACTCATCATGTAAACGCTGTGATATACATACAAAAAAAGAATAGTAAAATTATTACAATCTAATTGTGATTTTCAGCCTTTCTACCTTTCCATGTTTTCTTTGTCTGGTCTCATAACATGTTTTGGGATGAACTTTGTTGGATA